TTTGGTGGCCTTCACTGTCAAACTTCTGAAGGCCTCAATTCCCTCACTGTTATGGATTCCCACAACTTCTCTTCTCTCTCTCATAGGGGTTGGAATGAGGATGCAATAATGTTCATAACAGCAGTGGGTACAGTATAAAATGCTAGGTATATAGAAGGCATAGTGATTCTCATCCTGTTTCCTATTTTTGTGACGTGAAATGAAAAGGCCAGCTTGTCTCCTACCATAGTGAAATTCATAAAGTGAACTTAAGTTTGTAAATCTAACTGAACAGCTAAAATCTTAGCAACTTTTATTAGCCAACACTTGTGATCTTTAAAAGTTACAATAGCCAAGATATGGAAGCAACTACACACACACACACACATACACACACACACACACACACAGGCAATGGAATATCACACAGCCAAAAAAAGGATGAGATCAGCAAGATGGGGGGCTAGGAGGTCCCAACACTTGTCTCTCCCACAAAAACAATAAACTACAAACAGATGAAAATAGGTCAGGGAAAGCCGTGAACTACAATGAAGAAGCAGCCAAAACACTGTGGAACTCAAATCAGGACGGCCAAATAGAAAACCATAAGAAGCATTTAATTTATGCTACCCCACCCCCCAGTCCAGGGCAGCTCAGTGCCAGGAGGAATCCCTACAGAGAAATCTCACCCCATAGGAAAAGGGAGAACAGAAGAACCCCAGCAAGCCTCAACCACTATGGAAGTTTGCAGCCTTTGCCACACCAAGGATTTGCATAGTTTCCTCCAATGCTGAGCCCAGCTGATGGAGCCTTCCAGAGTCCCTGCTGCTACATCCCCTCCCCAGGGCTGGAGCTGTTGTTGCAGTGAGACGTGCCCCTAGGGTCCCCAAACCCCACTTTCTGGGATTGGGATGCATGCCTCAGTGCTTTGCCATAAATGTGACTAGAGCTGCCACTGCTCTGAGCCCTGCCTTCCAAGTTCCCAGGTCCTGGCTCTGACCAGTCATTGCTGAGGACCACCTGGCAGATGCTCTGAGCCCTGCACCTGGGTCCCAGGTCATGGTTCTAGGCTGTCAGTGCCAGGACTGTGCCGATGCCACTCTGAACACCACTTTAAGTATATACGATTGCATTTATCAATTATTCTTCAATAAAGTAAAAAAAAAATCAAAACTCAAAAAAGTGTACTAGGTATCAGTAACATCCCAATTTTTCAATAATTTTAGTGAATTACTTTATAGTTATATGTATGTTTAATAAAAATTATATCTCAAGTTGGAAATAACACATTTTTCATCATAGTAAAATCACAACACACACATATACAAATAGACAGCTGCACAAATTTTATAAAGTTAAAGCTGAGACACTCTGGCATATACATATGAAAAATTATTCATTTAGATTTTTACAAAGAAATTATTAAAGGATGTTTTATGTTTCAAAATTATGTGAAAAAGCAGAATATATAATCTATATTAACATATATATATATATATATAAGCTGAAAGGCAAATTATGCCTAGTATAAAAGGAAATAAACAGAAATATAAAATATTTCCAAGTATTGTGTGCTTTGAGTGATGGGACTTTAAGTGGATTTTTTAGGGTTTTTTAAAAGATTTTATTTATTTATTTGAGACAGAGAGAGAGAAAGAGTGATCAGGAGTGGGAGGGGGAGGAGCAGAGGGAGATGGACAAACAGACTCTGCACTGAGCACGCAGCACGATGTGGGGCTCAATCCCATGACCCTAAGGTCACGACCTGAGCCAAAATCAAGAGTCAGAAACTTAACCAACTGAGCCATCCATGTACCCCAGATTTCTTTTAGCGTTTCAAAATATTTTTCTACAGTGAGAAAATAACACTTCTGAAATTAAACAAGTGGATATATAAAAGTAAAATAGAGCAGTAAAATAGGGAGTAGATGTTCCAGAGAATATCATCTCCAAGTGGAATCAAGGAGGATAAAAAGTAATGCGAGTCTTGGGTAACTAACAGCAGGGCCTCACTTCTTCCTTTAGTGGAGAATGTTTACTACTGGCAGCCTTCCCAATCAAAAGCCAGCTCTCAAACCATAATAAGGATACTGAATTTATCAACATGTCTGGCAACTGTCAGCACATACCATACATTCGTCCTCCAAAGTCTATCTTTATTACAAACTATCAAATCTATTCAAAACTGAACAGATTTTCAGGGAAACTACTTGAAATGGAATCCTCTACTACTCGTCTTATTACCTAAGATATTCTGTGGGTTCATTTTCAAAAGTGCATGAGTGAATCTCTGTGGTCACACGCCCTTTGGGGCTATGTACGTGAGTTCCTACCACATACTGCCATGACACATCTATTTGTGTATGCATGTATGCATACGCATGTACCCGTATGTTTTCGTAAGATCTAAAATGTACATTGTTGATATAGTAGTAGGCAAATCAGATGAGTGAATACCATCAAGATGAATGAATGAATACATCATAGCAGAAACTGTTTTCACAATGGAAGCTGAAAATATTAAGGTCTCACTTCTTTTGCATGGATACATGACCAAGTTTAGGGAAATATCTTAAAAAATTCTCCTCCTTTACAAAAACTAGGACACTGAAGAACAAGTGCCTTTTCCTTTTCTTCTTTGACTTTGTACAAAGTTGGACAAAGACAGCCTATAAATCTTTAACCACTATCATATATGGGCGGGGAATCAAAACTTAGTAAGTTAAGGATCATGATATGGAAAGGTAGGAAAACCAAAAAATTTGGTCCTGTTGACACTGTTTAGCTACTGAATAAGCTAAAAAATTGTCCTGTTTATAAACCTCTTGTTATTTAATAAAAATCTTGCTGTTAAATAGCTTTTTGGGGAGTGTATACGCTGAAGGAATCCTAATTTATGCAGCTTCATGGTTTATTCACACACAATTCACCTGATCTCATATCTAAGTACTCCTTTCAAAGTGACATGAAATAACAAGGCTTACAAATAATGTCTCATTTTCAAGTCATAGAGTTTCAACAAATCCTGATTTGGGTAATTTTTGAAAGTTGATAAATTACTAATGTATATTCAACAACTGGCATATTACAAAGAAGTAAATCACTGAAAATTATTGGATCTCCTTATTCTCTTCTCCCAAATTTTCTTTTCGCTAACTCTCCAATTTGGGAAATGAAATTCAAAAGATTTAAAAAGCCTCATATGATCTATCTTCACATTAATTTCTCAGCCTACTGCCTAAAACATATCAGCTCTAGGGAGCTAGGATTTGTTTCATTTCATTCCTGATATTAAGTTAAGCTAATTCACAGAGAACTGGAAATTTCTCTACAAATGAAAATACACATACACACAGACATGCATGCCCTTTCTTTTCCAATTTCAGTGATTTATTGTTGATGACTGCAAAGAGCTAAGGCCAACCTGAATATAAAAGTTAAGATACCCTGAGCTCGAGTCTCAGTATGAAAGATTAAAAGTAGACAGACAAATGCCTTGGGTTTTATACTTTCATCTACTTATGGCATAAAATGAACAGAGTGCTGAGAAGCAGGGGTCTGTAAGCATTAATGAGAATGAATTCACAGTTTTCTTGGTGTGCTGGGGAGTATCTTGTTGTAAATGAGGTCAAAGAAATGGCAAGAAGCATATTTATGTAAGAGTAAATGGCAAGATAATGTCCAGATTCATGCGTCACATAGAATGAGTGGTAAATATTGGTTGACATAATAGGAACACCTTCCCCTGACTCTGAGCCAAAAGTAAAGGGGCTAAAGAAGAGAAATGTGTCATTTCTTATTATTTTCATTAGAAAAATTGCAGGATTTTCCAACCATTAAATAAAATGAGGAATTATTATCCCTCTTTAATTTAAACCTTGTGCTTGTAGATTGAGCTGATCATTGTAATGAAAACATTTTTTAAAAAATTATTACACACAATGTAATTCGTATTTATTATTTGTTAAGCAAATCATTACTCCTACTCCTAAGAGCCTAAAATTCCATGATTTTACTGCATTTGGAAATGCACATGGACCATAAGCACAACAATTAAAGACAACTACCTTTTATCTCCCCCTGTTCAAGGGAGATAAAAGAAAGTTTCATCTTGCTGCTATAACAAACTACCATGAACTAAGTGGCTTAAAACCAAACCAAACCAAACCAAAACACTTCTACTCTCTTATAGTTCTGAAAGTCTGAAATCTGAAATAAATTTTATGGGACTAAGATCAAGGGGTTGGTAGGGCTGGTTCTTTCTGGAGGTTATAGGAAGGAAATTCTACATTACACTGTCTTTCCTCCTCCAGCTTCTGTGATCACATAATCTTCATATTTAGGCCTTTTTGTCTTACTCTTATAAGGACTTGTATGATTATATTTAGGTTTCACCTGGATATTTTGGAAAAACCTGCCTATCTGAAGATCCTTAACTTAATCACATCTGCAAAGTCTCCTTTGCCATAAGGTATAAGATTCATAGGTTGCAGGAATTAGCAAGTGGATATCTTTGGGGGGCCATTATTCCGGTAGATGTCTACCTATACATAGATCTTGACTTGACAGTCTTGTAAAGAAAAGCATCAATAATTAAAATCAATCAACAATGATTAAATATAAAGACTCTTAGTAATAAAGAGATTTATGCAAGGATCTCTGGAGGTCAAGAATGTAGATCACCAGTGGATCTCATCTCTGGAAATGCACTCAATCTATGCTGTCCTTAATGTAAATATTCTGAAAGACCACACTCTTCAATATTGAATTAAAGTAACTGAAGGTTACAAAGGGACTTTAAACACTTTGGAATGACGCCTGCCTTTGATTAAGAATGTACCCAGGAAACCATATCTGCATTTGTCTCCATTAATTAAGAAGGCAAGAAAATCAAAGTGTCTTCAATGCAGTCAAATACAGCTGTAATTCTTACAAAAATCCAGAAATTAAATTTATGCTAAATGATATTATAGTTTATGCACTGGGAGGGTAAAGGTTTGGAAAGGGAGAAAGATGCTCACCTTAAATAATAAATCCTTCTTCCCATAACGAAGCTCCTTCAGCTGGGCTTGGATTTTTTTTGACTGCAAGAACAGAAACATAGATTAGTGCCTCAATTTCATTTATATTTTCAAACTTAAAGATGAAAATTATTTTAAACTGTACAAGAGTGAATTTTGCAGTCAAGCAAAAGCTTAATCTCTGCCTTCGAAGTTGGACTTCCAGCTAGCCTAGGCAGGAGGACAAAACCAAAGGTGTGCAAACGAACCATGTTGTTTAATTTTTGTAGAAACTTTTTAACTTTTAATTTTTGAGTATAGTTGACACACGATAGGAACCATATTGTTTAAAAGGCAATATTTAAAGAAAGTAGTTTATTGTTTCTCTCCCCAGCTTCCCCTCCTGCCAAAAAAGAATACACACACACACACATACACACACACACACCACACACACACACCCCACACCACACACACCACATACACACACACACCACACACACACACCACACACACACACACACCACACATACACACACACACCACACACACACACCACACACACACACACACCACACATACACACACACACCACACACACAAACACACACACCACACACACACACACAGAATTTTAGTCACCAGAGCATGTCCAACAATCCAATTTTAGATGCTAAATATACCTATGTATATGTATGCCTCAGTTTTCTCTGCTTATTTACAATTACTTCCTTTTTAAGATCAAATATGTGAAATTTAAACTGACAACCAAGTTTGAATTTGATGTATGTTCAAAGGGAAGGCAGCAAGCAAATGTGACAGGAAGCAAAGAAAACAGCTAGAATGCTAAGATGCTGAGGTGAAGGTTGTTTGCTCTGTAGAAGAATGCACTTTTTAAGAGAACTATGCCAAATATAAAAGTGCTTTATAACAAGGAAATTTCTCTCAGCAGGACATGTTTGACTACTAATGGAAATATACCTGGTGAACCACAGATGATGATCCTGTCTTCCCATTTTTCCAGAGCAGACCCAATTTCAAACATTCTAACATAAGGACCTCAGTTATTTGTCCTTCTGTATCTAAAATTACAGGTTCTGACCCCTCCGTAGGAGAACAAAAACACAAATAGATTATCATAGTCACATAAAAAATGATAATTGAAAAAAATAGTAAAATAGGTGAATAGGAATATAAAATGGTATAGTCACTTCAGGAAACAGTTTGGTGGTTTCTTATAAAGTTAAACATACATAAACTCCATTATACAGCAATTCTTTCTACATACATAAATGTTTATAGTATCTTTATTCATAAGAGTCAAAAGCTGGAAACAACCTACAAGTCCATTAACTGGTAAATAGCAAACATTTTCTGGTACATTCATGAAATACTACAATACTGTTGAGCAATTTTAAAAAAGTGAATTAAGTACTGAAGCATGTAACAGTGTGGATGAAAAAAAAACAGTGTGGATGGAGTTTTTTTTATTTTTATTTTATTTTTTTTAATGTGTCACTCTGGCGAGTAACTAGATTTTTTTAATTTTATTCTGTTATGTTAATCACCATACAATATACATCATTAGTGTTTGATGTAGTGTTCCATGATTCATTGTTTGCGTATAACACCAGTGCTCCATGCAGAACATGCCCGCTTTAATACCCATCACCAGGCTAACCCATCCCTCCACCCGCCTCCCCTCTAGAACCCTCAGTTTGTTTTTCAGACGTCTCTCATGGTCTCTCATGGTTCGTCTCCCCCTCCGATTTACCCCCCCCTTAATTTTTCCCTTCCTGTTATCTTCTTCTTCTTCTTCTTCTTTTTTTAACATATAATGTATTATTTGTTTCAGAGGTACAGGTCTGTGATTCAACAGTCTTACACAATTCACAATGCTCACCACAGCACATACCCTCCCCAAAAGCATTATACTATGTGAAATAATCCAGTCATTAGAAGCTATCTTTTGTATAATGCCATTTATATGATATTCTAAAAAAGACAAAAGGATAGGGCTAGAAATCAGGCTAGTAGTTGACCTTGGCTGGGGATTTGTGGTAGAGATTATAAAATAGCAGGAGAAAACTTTGGGGATGATGATGTTCTGTATCTTTAATATATACATTGATCAAACCCATTCAATGGTATACTTAAATAGGATGAATTGTATGCAAATTATATCTTAATAAAATTCAATTTTAAAAGTAGTTGGCCATAGTATATACTAAACACAAGATCCTCATGGGACTACTATAGCCCAATAAACTGTGTTGATATGAAGGTCCTCTTCAACAAATGAAGCCCACTCACGTTTTTTGAAATATTATAATTTTCCTAGCTTACACCGAATGTCTATGAGTCTTTCACGGAATCAACTGCAGGTATACTATGGTTCAGTTTGTTGTTATATTCAGAACATGTCTAATGATGCAAGATAGGAGAGTTTGCCAAGTGGGAGACTGTTATGATGGTATTATAATTCCTGAATTCTTGTCTAATGCTGGAAGCACCACCAATTAGAGTAGAATCTTCAAAGTGTTGCCTGTGGTCACCACCACAATGCTCTACTATTAGAAACAGTTTTCACAGACATCCCTTTCATGAACCAACTGCATTCTGGGATCTATTGAATCAGGAAATTGATAACAGAGAACAAAAAGAAAATAAAATGAAAAGAAATAAAGGAAAGGAAGACGAGACAAGGAAAGAGGGAGAGAGGAAAAGTAAAGGGGGGAGAGTGGTGACTTGAGACGGGGGAGTGGGAAGCAGGGAGAAAGAATTTGACTCATTAACAATTCAGAACTGTGCAATTAAACTCTATACCCAGAAGAAGCAAGGATTCGTTTGTTTGTTTTTTATAAACTAGCTACTATTTTTTTCATTTCCATAAAAAGTCATCCTCTTTCCCTTGATATGTTTACTGAAAGTGAAATGCAGGATATATAATGCATAGAAGACAATGAGCCATCATTGTATATGTAGGGTTGATCCTGGCTCTTGAGAATAAAAACTCTCACTTGAAACCCCCAGCCTCCTGAATTTATACTTCTGCTTCAGGATTCTACATTACAGCTCTGTTCTCCTGGCACCAAATTCCCCAAGTAACCCCTAATGATGATATCTCAGACATAGCATCTCTCTCATTACATTAATTTCATCTCCAAGACATCTGCTGGTTTTCGAGGCTATTCTTAATTTTGTGCTACTGATTTCAGTAAAAAATCATTTCTGTTATCTTCTCCAACTTCAAATGCACAGTTGATTGGCATTGTCTCCCTCCTGTTTCAATCTGTTGTCCAGGACTCATTTATAGCCAGGACAGTCCCTTGGGTAAACAGAGTTTATTTATTTTTCCAAACGAATGTTGACCAATATCAAAGGGGAATGAGAGGTTACCACTACATATGGTGTGCGTGATTTGCTCAATTTCACTTCTACTCTTTCAAATAATTAATGCTCTATTTTTTTAAGTGTCAGAAAAGACTAATTTTAACCATTTTGGGTATTCATTTTAATGCATATTTATGCTGAATACACAGAATATAATTTCAACTTTTATTCATAACTTGAATTAATTATTAAAACATCAGTTTTTGTGTTATGCAGTGATTCATTCAGGAACTATAATAAAAGGCTACATATCTTTGTGCCGCACTAAGTGAGCAAGAACAGTTAGATTTCCTGAGCTAAGATTATTTAGAATTTTTTTTTTTAGAAATTTTCATCACAGTCATCACTTCCCTGCATTGTATATTCCAGCCATCTTCTAATGTTCAGTGAGTTAAAAATCAAAATCCTATCTAAAGATCTGATGAGAGTATGCACAGTAAGAATAAGTGCAAAATTTGAGTTGAGCGCATTTTGTAACGCACATTGATCTAAAACCCCATGACATTTTGTTTTCTTTTAGCTTCCTAGGGCATCATTTTGAAAAGTTAAAATTGTCAGAAGGGTAAACTTGAAACCATTGAGCTATTGCTATATTGGGGATTTTAGTAATTTCTTTTGGTGGGCAGCAAAGCCAGGGTTTTTGTGGGTTTTTTGGTGGGCAGCAAAGCAAGGTTTACTGAGTGACTGCAAATTGATAGTACAAAACTCCCAAGGAGGGAGGGGACCCAGGAGGGTTGCAGGATTTTAGTAATTTTTAAAAGTAATGGTTTTAAATGTCATTTTACATGTTGATGCCTATGAGTCATGAAGTTTTCACAAGTCTGCAGTAAAATTAAGTTTGTGATAATGATGATGCTGATTGTAAGTATAATAAAAAGATGGCGAGGAGAAGGTGAAGACAAAGAAGATGGATATGATAGAACATTTTATTTTTTCATTTAATTTTATTTTTTAAAGATTTCATTTATTTATTTATTTCACAGAGAGAGAGAGAGAGAGAGGGTGTAAGTGAGGTGGGAGGCGGGGAGGTGCAGGCAGAGGGAGAGGAAGAAGCAGGCTCCCCGCTGAGCAGGGAGCCCCATGCAGGGCTCAATCCCAGGACCCTAGGATCATGACCTGAGCTGAAGGCAGACACTTAACCAACTGAGCCACCCAGGCGCCCATGATAGAATATTTTAGCTAGTCTCTGACATTTTTCTTCTCTACAATTCATGTCCAAGTAGCATTTCCTTCATGAAATAACAGTGAAGATGATTGTAGTGGTATTTACAGTAGACTCTACTGTTTTCAATATTCTGCCTTGGCAAATTAAAACACTGGCAATCCATTAGGTGTCAATGGGATCTGGATGTTTATCTATGAATAGTTTAGGGTCACTGATTTAGAAGACAGCTTTTTAGCACCTAAACTGAGAGAAGACATTACTATTTTGTTTTGGTGGTAGTGGTGGTGTTAAAACAAATAATTACATTTATTACCCATATTCTTGGGAAGTGTTTTTGTGACAGGAAAAAAAATGCATATATATATATATATATATATATGCCTCTGTTATTTCCCAGAATGTTAAACTCTAAATTTTTTCCATAAATAAATAAAAAGATAGGTCAAATAAATAAACTGATTTCAACATTATGCAGTACTAATATTATGAAGCATCTAGGAATGTGTAAATTAAAATGCAGATATAATGTATCCTCTAAGGAATTGAGATGAATTTAAAGAAATTAATCATTCATGAACTAAGGGACTAAAAATACAGGTGGACCCAGATTGTTGTTGCTTATTTATTCATTTGTTTGTTTCTAAACAGCACAGGCAACTTTGCCTAGGGGCCATCTCTCTCCCGTGAGTGTTGTGGGGACTCTGAGAACATGGTAACCATCTCAGAATATAGCTTCAATCCATATAGTACTTATTCAAAAATTGGTTCCACTTCCTTACCCTCTTATAAGTAATATCCAGAAACGGCACAATACTCATGTAATATTTCTAGAAACCTAGTACATTAAACAACGTTAAGTGTCTGTGTCTATTCAGATATAAAAGTATAATGAAAGAAATACTACACTGGCTCATATCCACAAGCTATTCAGTTTGATTATTCATTTATGGAGCATCAACCTTTAGTTTCCATGTATTGAAAATTTTTACTCATTTCATGTACAATATTATTGTGAAGGCATTATAAACAGGTTATTATATTTCATGTCAGACTCTAACTTCAGTGTTGAGTGGCAAGGACTTTTACATGTCCATCAGGGAGTATTCTCAGCTTGTTTACTAAAAAAAAATCCCAAGGTCTGGATAAGCGCATGACCACCAACCTAATGACATTTTCCAGACTCCATTCAGCTTGGCTAGGCATGTGACCTACGTCTGGCAAATAGGATGCAATGAGACATGTGTCACTTCTTCCTAGCTGGACTTCTAAAAAGCAATGCTTGTGAGTCACCAGGTAATCTTCCCTGTCCCTTCTGCTAGAAGGTGATAATAACAGGGAAAGGTCACTGGAACAAAAGGTAGATCCACAATTAGAAAATGATAGCGGTATTTCACCAGCTCTGTGCCTTACTTCTAACCACTACAGGAAAGGGGTTAAACTTTTAACTTGTGTGAGCCACTGTTCTTGTTCTATCTGTACCACTTTCCCTCCCCCTTCTTTAACAGATACCAGATCTACATTGTGGTATGTGTGGTATGAGGACTCTCATGCTTACTCTTTATCATTCACAGGTTTCTCCATTAATAAATCCCTTGCACAACGAGTCTCATATTTCGTGTGCTTGTTGGAGGATCCAGCTAACACAGTGATTCTGGTCTCCTCTCCTCCAGGAAAAGAATGACTTACTATGACACTGTCTTTACTATCACATTACTATCACTAAGAATTACATGAGCTACATGTCTATAGCATTAAATAGGGGATCATAAAGCACAGATGGAAATTGATTTTAGGTAAATCTGAATTAACCAGAATGACTCCCCCACCCCCCACTAAGAAATGCATGAAACAATTTTCCTGCCTAGCAAGTAGACCCAATGATTGTGTTTGTTTCTTAAAGTTTATGGTCAACCCCAGAATCCTCATTCTGACATTTCACTGTCATTGCAAAACTTTGTAGACATCACATAGTAGATGGTTCAAAAAAATAAAAATTTCATTGACCTCCAGGTATTTGCTATTAAGAAAATCCTGATAATCCAGTTAAGGATGGAATACATAAAGTCACTTTAGGGAAGCAACGCTTAACTGGCTTAATTTCTTTTTTTGGTTATGCAATTTTAAAACACCCCAAAACACCTAAAAGTTTAAAATCTGTTTTCATTTTTCTGTTCCAGTGTTTTCATTTATGTTAGTGACAGACGAAGTCTCCAGGTTTCCGGGTTAAGGAAGAACAATCTGGTGCTAATATTTTGGCACTCTCTATTCCACTGAAGCTAGAAAATGTACTCACCTCTTCTGCATGGATGCCACACAGCTTGCTTCCTGACAAGAGTTTGTTCTTCAAGCTTTTATTCTGATGAAAGAAAAACAGTTTATTGCTAAGAAATTATAAACCATTAACAATTCCTTAAATATGTCAGGCGCATTTCTCTGTTTTGTTCATGTATAGGTCCTTATGATAGGAGATGTAATGGATTTGCATAAAGGGAGTAGAATCTGTCATGTAAAAGTATGTTTCTTTCATTCAATTAACATTCTGGTATCCTCACATTAACATGCTCATTTGAAAAGATGGAACTTTATTTGGCCTTACATTTAATGTTGTTTTATTATATCTGCATATTTTATATTAGAAAATAATTTTGGTTTCAAATCTGCAGTTGATGCTGGTTTTTGAAAACACATCTCTAAACAGCAAGCATTGGGTTTTTTAATCACTATGTTCAATTAGCCAACATATAGTACATCATTAATTTTTGATGTAGTGTTCAATGATTCATTAGGATTCTGGTTACCTTGGATCCTAGTATAATGTAGTCACACACCCATGAGGGTCTGTACTCCCTTTAAAGACTACAGCTTTGAGTCCTCTTATATTCTGGAGGCCTGTGAATTATACTCACAAGGCTTCTTGATGCTCAGAAGCGATTTCTTTTTTCAGGCCAGTAAGTGTACTCTCTCTGCTGGGCTTGAGTCTGGACAGATACGATAATCCTTTGAACTCACCATAACTGACCTTGATTCATAGATGAATGTTTGTTATTTCTGACATAGAAGCCATGTGTTCTTAGCCATCTGAATCTAAACCCTTACGGCTATTCAATTGTATCTGCCTCATTATGCTCAGGCTTTTCTGTCTTTGTCCTGATAACTCAGGTACTTTTAGACAGGCGGGCTAAAGGAGAACAGAAAACTTAATGAAACCCACAGGATTCAGACTTTGTACTGTCTCCACAGGAGCAACCCATGTAGTGGTAAAGTACATCTCATGCATAATGACTCTAAAGAGAGCCAGTCTGATGAGCACTATGAGCTAACTGAACACAATTTATGCGGAATGAATAACTGAATGATGAGTAACTGAATGAATGGAATACATCAAATTTGAGAGTTCTTCACTTATAATTCTCACCTTTTGAACATCATTTCCTATTTTATTTTCCTGTCATGCAGGGAGGGGGTACAGCTGCCTCAGTTTGAAAGAAGCCTTTGGCTAATTTTTCTTCCTTAGCGAAGAGTTGAAATTCTAAAAAACTCATTTCTTAGAATTTTAGTACTATGAAATGATTTACACAGATGAGGAGTTATCTTGATTCACTCAAGTAATTTTTTTTGGCAAATATTCATATTCATCATACAACAAAGCACGAGATTAGAGTTTTTAAAGGGAATTTAATATATATTATCCCTATATTGAGAAAAACTGTAATAACAAGGGGATGAATACCGATGTTCTAAATCTGCCGTGTTGCTCAGATTGCAGGTTAAAAAATACCCTAATTTCCTTCTGTTTGTGTCTATTTATGATATTTTTGACATATGTAATCTTAATTTTTTCTCACAAATGGTCTATTTCTCCTATCATCTTTATACATAGAAATATCTTCATTATCTCTAGAGATTTAATATTCACTTAGATTTTTCATCTTTTTTTTTTTTTTTGAGAGAGAGAGAGAGAAAGCGAGCATGTGAGCAGTGGGGAGTGGGGCAGAGTTAGAAGGAGAATCTTAAGCAGGCTCCACTGCCCAGCGTGGAGCCTCATGCGAGGCTTGATATCACAACCCTGAGATCATGATCTGAAGTGAAATCAAGAGTAGGACACTGAACCAACTGAGCCACCCAGGTGCCCCAGATTTTTCATCTTTTTTAGGGTTATAGTCTTTTAGTGGAAAGACATGGAATTTAAATAAGGTCTATAGTTTGTTTAATAGTATTGTATTAATGTTAATTTTCTGGTTCAATAATTGTATTATCACTCTGTATGATGCTGTATTAGAGGTTTGGGGCAAAGATAGACAAGAACATTCTATACTAATTTGGCATGCCCTTTTCTATGTCAAAATCTATCTCAAAAAAGTTAAACTACCTAGGGGCGCCTAGGTGGCTCAGTTGCTTGGGCATCCAAGTCTTGATTTCGGCTCAGGTCATGATCTCAGGGTCCTGGTATGGAACCCCATGTCGGGTTCCACGCTCGGTGTGGAGTCTGCTTGGGATCATTTCTGTCCCTGTCCCTCTGCCCCTCCCCCTGCTTGTGCTCTATATCTCCCTAAAATAAATAAAATCTTTAAAAAAAAGTTAAATTATCTAAAAAATTAAAATTAACTCTGAGCTGCTTGAAAGTGGGCCAGGCAGCTCTGGTCCTCACAGCGCACCATTGCCCAGCCAGAGCACCTTGCTGTCTTAGGTGACAGTCAGGAATTACACTGTCACCTGTGTCACTCGAAATGGAAGAAATAGGGAAGACTGCTGTGGAGGTGCAGAGACCTATAAAGACTGAGTGGAATTTCTGGTGTGCCTTTTTCACCTATTTTCAAGGGGCCAGCAGCAGCACGGTGGATGAATACCTCTACAGCTTTGAGCACTGTCAAGAGCCCCCAGGGAGTGAGTCCCTTAAGCCAGAGTGAAGATGTGATCCTGACGAATGACAACAAAATGTCTCCAAATCAGTGCGGCTGTTTTTCTTCTCAATGGACAAAACCACAACCAGAAGTATCTTTGACATATTCTGTCACCAACTGCAGCTTGAATGGTTCCTATGCCTATGGATCAGTACCCAGAGTCCCAGGCGAGGACCTCTTCCATTCAGTCTGGCAAGCTGTGGCATTTCCCCTCCTCAGCCCATTCCAGCTTTCCAGAGCCTGACTATTCTCACACCTACTCCACTGGGCACATGGTTCTAGAGCCTCAGCCTAATGGGAAATAGAAACCCTTCCTAAGTCTCCTCCAGCATGACACATACCTAGCCCAACCTCAGGAACTGGCTGTGTAGGACTGCAATTCTGCCCAGACAGCCAGAGGCATGGGACTGTTCTTCAACCTGCCTCCCAGATCAGCCCACTATAAGAAAATGTATTCCCCCACCCCGCACCCACACACCCAGATTGTGGACATGCCAGTGCCAGCCTTACAAGCGAAAAAGGCCAGCCTCCAGAGAGAAGAAATCTATCCTTTTATTAAACTTCAGTTTGAAGAAGAGAACTCCTTTTTTCAAATCTGCTCATGATATGCCTTCCACAGGAGCCCCCCTGACTTCCATAAACAATGTAACCATCCCTTTAGCTCTTTCACTGCTAGTGACATCTGGGAAATATTAGCTTTCTTTTCAGCACAAAACCATTGGGGCCACCCATGTGGATACCCAGAGCCTCCTACACAAACTGGAGGTGAAAGACAAGGCTTGGTCTATGACATGGCAGCAGGACCTCCCTGCAAATAGTTCCAGAAAAAATGGTACATTTCTCCAATATCATTCGTCTCTCTAATCTGGTAGACAGCTTTGTGTTCAGTATGAGCCTGGTCCTTAGCGCGTGACAACTCAGGAAGTCGCTGCTACAATGTTCCCCGTCCACACACACCCCGCTTGCTCCCGTGGAACAGCTCAGAGGGTGGAAATTAAATGAATTTATGGATTAAAAAATAATAGTAAAATAAATAAAAATTAAAAAAATTAAGATAAATAAAATTGAGACAAGATAGGTGAACTGTATTGGATATGAAGATTTACATACCAACACAAACCATCCACATCTGACTAACTTGATTAGAAATGATAATGCAGTTAATAATATATTTAAAATTTATGGTATGTGGCCTATACTATTTAAAGTTTGCACCTTCACTTAAAGCTTTTTTCCTTTTTTCTTTCCTCCTTCTTTCCCTTCCTTTTTTTTTTTTCATTCTGTTCAATTCTAAGATGATAACGCAATGAATAGAACTTTATTTCACTGGAAATGCTTATGATGGACTTGGAGAATTCACCTGGAACTGCACAGGGAAGACTGCTTCTCCTCAACATGGGTGTCCTGGTGACCACCCCAAAGTGAGCAGGGCTTCCATTATGTGTCCACCATCTGTGCAGGCAGTTGGTAATTCTGGGCAACTCTGTAAACCATGTAAAGCAATATGTTTCCATCAAGCTAACTGTCATTTCTAAAGCTTAAGGATTAGAGGATTTCACTATTTGAAATACACCCAGAACTGGGGGTAATAATCACAGTCACCCACAAAGGGGCCAATTGTGGGACACAAGGCAGACTTGTCAAGGCCCGTACTAAGATTGTTCTCAGATGGCATGTTCTTCAGAAACATGAATGGCACATAGCACTGAAGAGGGAATACTGACTTCCAGACAATTCCCTGATTTAACCTTTCCACTTATGGTTAGTGAGCATACTTCTTTAATTCCAGAAGGAATCATGGCTTGATATCACTTCGGCATTAAGAACACCGTTTTTTTTGTTTTGTTTTGTTTTTGTTTTTTTTGTTTTTACAGTTTTGTAAGCAGACTTGTGTCATTTCATCTACCCTCTAAACAGTGGATCTCATCCCTATCAAACCTTATGATGCTTTTATAAGATCGAAAACAACTTATACATATAATTATACCCAAGATGCCAGGATCCAATTATGGCCATGATTATGCCTCACTTGAGAGAATACGAAGAAAAGTAAATTAAAAGAGTCATCAAATGTTCAAATGTCTATTCTTCCTGCCTGTCACACTTCTGCTATCCCTTATTCTAATAACCATACTCTGATTTTTCTTATGAGCAATATTTTTCCATGCTAATTCCATGTGGCTGGTATGACTCTAACCCCAACCACTCTATCCAGGATAAGGATAAAACTCAAGCCCAGCCAATCAGTCTTGGTGCAGATTTGGCAAAATAACATAAACACTGCTGATGAAAAGCTAATATAAATCTTTTCTTTTCAAGAATTATTAAGGATAAGGTGCTGAGAGTCATCACTAAGTCAGAACCCCTCTGAGAAGACCTAACAAGGGAAAGGAACACTTGAGTATGGGGAGAGAAATGTTGAATCCTGGTGATAGCGTTGGCCCTTCTTCCCTGCTTCATACTTGCCTGAAGCTAGTATACTCCTGGGTGTTCCGATTACATGCTTCCATCACCAGCCCTTTGGCTCTCTTGACACCATACTTACATCTTTTTGTCCACTCTATCTTACATAATCTCCTAATTCTATCACATCTTTAGGATTCAGAGTAGCAAAGAACATCCAAATAACCATGCTTATATCTAATGCTAAATGCCATAACTTATCAGGATGTGGGCCATCTATTTTGCCTTTTCTAAATGGAAGGCAGACCTTGCTTCCTACCTACTTAGGGAATGCTTCCCAACCGGATGCTGTACAAATCTGGGGTAGCATGGCCTTCTTGGGAACCCAGCTTGTATATGTGTCAGCCCTGCCTAAAAATGTCATTTAATATTTCCCACTGTCTATAGGATAAATCTCAAACTCCTATCTGATAGTAATATAATATCTATCTTAGGAAATAGATCTGCTTAATCTAGTTTTAGTTTTTACCTGGGAACTTAAAACATCACATTTTCAGTAGCGTTTACGTGGTAGCTCAAACCCACCAAATGTTCTAGGCTACAAAACAGAAAGAGATGTAAGTCTAGTATATCTCTATAATCTTTCTATATGTAAATGTAAAAATTCCAAAATTGCTGAGTCTAGATTTTCCATAGTGCTTTCAAATGAAATCAGGTATTAAGAGGTATTACTGCTTGCAAATAATAAAAACCAATAATAGCAAAATCAAGCAAAACATGAATTTCTTGTGAATATCTCAAGCAGAATAAAGTCTGGGGAATAAGGCTCAGAAAGTAGACAGGAACCAAGTATGACAAGGTATTTATGACTGTAAGACAGAATACAGTTATTGTGACAACTATAAATCACTATACTTATTTACAAGGTGGAACGATGAGGTCTCAATGAACTTTCATGGTAAAAGTCATAACC